AGCGTGTATAACATAACATTCAAGTCTGACATTAAGAAGGGAATGAGTCTCAACTTCGATACCATGAAGATAAATGAATTTTGAGTTTCACTTTACTTCAAATATTAGCTCACGAGGCTTTTCTAATATAAAGAAAATAAGAAATACGATCAAAGTTATTTGGATAGTCATTGTACAATAAATTGATTGAATAAATCAAGAGAATTAGAACTACCGTTAATCAAGGATTAATGAACGCTTAAACATTATACCAATTGAAATTTATTCACTAATCACTTTTCTCATGTTGCAAGCTTTAGTAACTTAATAATTTGTCCACATGTAAGTGAAGCTCCACCCATTAATATTGACAAATAGCCTTTATAAAAAATAAAAATATAAAGTCTTTTTATCTTAAAAAGGATTACAACTTTTTGTTGATAATTGCAATGAGAAAATGTGATGTCATTAAAAAAAATAATCAAATTTTAAGATATGTTAGAAAAGAATTTAAGATGGTCAATTATGGACAACCAAGGATATTGTGTAACGTAGAATATTATTTAATGAAGTAGGGTTGGCATTTATTTTATTGCTAATGCTAATAATAATAAATGCAATATTTAGGTATTGGGTTTTCAGTAACAGTCGAAAGTCTCCAACAATTTATGTTTATTTTATTTAGTTTTAATCCAAAATATATTAATTTCATATTCACACTTGTAAGTTGTAACTTGTAACATTCATGTAAGAAGAGTCCTTGCTAATTATGGTTTTTTTCATTTACAAAACTCGAGTTTGAAATCGCTAGTTAAGTATGAAAGAATCTCATTCATATTAGCTAATGTGGTTTTAAATATATCATGAATTTTTTGTCTATTTTCACAAATGCTCAACATTTAAAAAAATTTATAAAATATTGTCAATGTTTAATATCTTACAAAATTTTAAATTATGATCGAACATCTTCTGATTAGTTTTTAATTTGTTAAAAGAAGGTCAAATCTTAATCTACAAAGTCCACAAGTTGCAAGAGTAATTACAAAAGATAACAACCAAAAAATTTACAAATACTTTTATAAAAAATAATATTAATATAAAAAATATCATTTTTTCAAAAAAAAGAGTTAATTAAAAAGGAGACTACAATATGAAGTCATATAGACAATGATGATTGTACTCCCACCAAAAATATTAATGGTGAGTAATAAAATATCTTCCCAACCCAAGTCAAGGACAAAAAAATCAGTTTCAACAATTTTTTTCTGAATTTTATTACAATGTTGAAAATCAAGATTGATTTTTTTTCCTGACTTTCTTTTTAGTATTTTCTTCACCACTAGTGGCTTCCTAAAAATGGAATATGCCTTGTCTAAAGTTAAGCTTTTTTCTCTGATTACTTCATTAACCATGTTCTTCAATCTTTTTGCTTAAGATTTCTTCTCTGAGTATCAGGTATGCTTTCTTTTTCACTTTTTTTTTTTTGATAATCTGAAGATATGGGTAGTTTTAATTCTTGAAAAAATTGAATCTTTTTGTGTAAACTTGAAAAAAATTGAATCTTTTTTTATAAACTTGGAACCCCTTTTCATTCTTGAAAAAAATTGGTTCTTTTTGTATAAACTTGAAAAAAATTGAATCTTTTTGTATTAACTTGAAACCCCTTTTCATTCTTGAAAAAAAAATGGATCTTTTTGTTTTTCTTTTTTTTTGTTGTTGGGGTGGGGGGTTCTTTATGTTTAGCTAACTTCTGGTGTTAGGATGCAAGTGGTAAGCTTCATTTCTTTTTGTATAGCTAAATTCTGGTGTTAGGATGCAAGTGGTAAGCTTCAATTCTTGGTAGTTTTTAGAAAGCATTTGAGACATTTTATTTTTTTTGGGTTTTGTGGATGGGAATTATTTGTTTGCCAGTAAATCTGAGAGGAATTCAGTGAATTCTTTTTTGTGATGATGAAAATTAGGGGTTTCAGTCTCTATATGGAAGATCTATAAGGCTAAGGCAGTGGGTAGTGGGGACCTAACCTTTTACCCTAGACCTTTTTTTTTAAAAAATAATGAAAAGAAAAGATTGCAACTTTGGTGAAAGTGATTTTTTTTATATGATGAAGGGTATGAGTTGAGGTTAAATAAAGCTATGGAGATTCTTGAGACTGAGAGTTAGTTTATTTTCTTTTCACCCTTCCCTAGGAGCTCTGGCCTTTTGGTTCCTTGGTCAGTCGAATCCGCAACCTTAAGATTGGAGGTGGAGGGTGCTTACCATCTGAGCAACCCCTCTTGTCGAGAGGTAGTTGTTTGGTTAAAGTGCTTTTATTTGATATGATGAAGGTTGTGAGATGAGCTTAAATGAAGCTATCTGGATTCAATTTGCCGACCTTAACTTGTTTGGGACTGAAAGGTAGTTTTTTTTAATTTTCACTCCATTCCTAGGAGCTCCCTCCTTTTGCTCCCTTGGTGACTCAATGCTCCAACCTTGGGGTTGGAGTTGAAGGGTGTTTCCCATTTGAGCAACCCCCTCTTGTCGAGAGGTAGTTATTATATTGTTTACAGTGCTTTTAGGACTATGAACAAAAGCATTTGTCCAACACTTACAGTAAATCAAGTTCAAGCTGTTCTTTATAAATTGGTGTTCTTTTGATTTCTCATTAGTGACAATTGCTATGGTATTTGTTTAACTTCTCCACAGGATAGTTGGATCTTTGAAATGTGTTATGGATGTGAATGTTAAAGCTTGGAGCTGGTGAACTTTTTGTTAACGAGGCGGGGTGTATGCTGGAATTGTTCCTGTTGTCTTCTGGATATCTATGATGTGCTAAACGGGTAGATAATATTTCACGATGAGGCCTTCTCAAAACCCTGAGGATATCAACGAGTTTAACAGATTCTATAACCAACCCATAGAGTATCAAGAATCCTATTTCCTGCCTTCCATTAACAATCCGAACAACAACCAATCGTTCTATGCTGATGTCTCTACCTTAAAACCCGACCAACACTGTTATGTTGAATCATCCGCGGGAAATTCTAGTGAACTTGTTTCCGATTCACCTCCTATTGTTAATTTCAACCCCATGATGCAGCAAGGTTCTGATTCATGGCGTTCAGACATGCATCATTCTCCTGATGATACATTTCAATCATCGGGTAACAGTTCGTGCTACACTAGTGATGTTACTGACCTGAAGCACAAGTTAAGGGAACTTGAAACTGCAATGCTGGGGCCAGATTCAGAAAGCATGGAATCATACAATACTATCCCTGTGGCTGCAGCCAATCAAGTTTCATCGGAGTCGGATAAATTGGTTGGAATGATGGAGATGATGCCTAGCGGAGACTTGAAAGAAGTTCTAATTGCTTGTGCTAAAGCAATAGCGGAGAATAATTTGATAACAGCTGAATGGTTAATGTCAGAACTACGCACAGTGGTATCTGTTTGTGGATCTCCGCTACAACGTTTAGGAGCTTATATGCTGGAAGGTTTAGTTGCTAGATTGGCCTCCTCAGGAAGCTCCATCTACAAGGCCTTAAGGTGCAAAGAGCCTACTAGTGTTGAGCTATTCTCGTACATGCATTTGCTTTATGAAATCTGTCCGTACTTCAAGTTTGGATATTTGTCAGCAAATGGTGCAATTGTTGATGCCATGAAAGATGAGAACTCGATTCATATAATTGATTTCCTGATTGCTCAGGGTAGCCAGTGGATCACCTTAATCCATGCTCTCGCAGCCCGGCCTGGTGGACCTCCAAGAATCCGCATCACAGGGATTGATGACTCCACGTCAGCTTACGCCAGAGGAGGAGGGATTGAAATCGTAGGTCGAAGATTGTCAAGCATTGCTGCATCTTGCAATGTACCTTTCGAATTTCATCCCGTGTCTGCTTCTTGTCCAGATATTGAGATTGAGCATCTTAAGGTTCGTCCCGGGGAACCATTGGCTGTTAACTTTGCGCTCGTCTTGCACCATATGCCTGATGAGAGCGTTGGAACTCAAAATCACAGAGACAGACTTCTGAGGATGGTTAAAAGCTTATCTCCCAAGATTGTTACCTTAGTGGAGCAAGAGTCCAACACTAATACAGCCCAATTCTTCCCCAGGTTTTTGGAGACACTGAATTACTACCTATCTGTGTTCGAATCAATAGACGTGGCTCTACCTAGAGACCATAAGGAACGAATCAACGTTGAGCAACACTGCTTGGCCCGTGAAATTGTCAACATATTAGCATGTGAAGGGACAGAGAGAGTGGAGCGTCATGAGCTTCTTGAAAGGTGGAGGTCACGATTTGCTATGGCCGGGTTCAAACCATATCCGTTAAGCTCCTCAGTAAATGCTACTATCAAGACCCTGCTGGAGAATTACTACCAAAGCTATACGCTTAATGAGAGAAATGGAGCTCTTTATCTTGGCTGGATGAATCGAGATTTAGTTGCTTCTTGTGCATGGAAATAGTCTCTTGTCGGAAACAGCCTCTCTACCCGCAAAGGTAGAGGTAAGGTCTGTGTACATCTACCATAATTAACTTGTAGCTTGATAATGGTAAGAGATAGTTGCACCTTTTTTTTTTCTTTTCTGTTTGTATTAAGTTATAAGACAAGTAATTTAATCTTGTTAGGATCTGTTCTACCAGAAACTAATTTAAGTCTTTTTTTATCTTTCACATTGTGCATTTTATTGTTAGCTCAATTTACTCCATGAGTAGTCTTATTCCAGTTTCGATCTCTGCAATCTGCCAACTCATGTTTATAGTTCATTTGGTTTGTCACTTTGCACGACATGAAACAACACATTCAGGATGTATATCAATTGAAAATTACAGAAAATACATTAGCCAAGTGCACTCATCATAATTACAGAAAATATGGTACATCGAAAAGTTCATCATAATTCCTAGAAAATGTCATTGATCTGTATTCATTGTAGGTCGACATTTGCTCCGTCATCCATTTCCTAATATACTCTAGGTATATGTACACGAAGAACACTAGGTGAAGATGTATTATACAGCATGACGCGACGAGTCCTGAAGTATTTATACTTCAACTAGAGATATCTTTGTAATCCACCAAGATGCAGGAAAAAATATAGATGGTGGCTTCTTATTGTTACGCTCTTATACTTGATGGTAGAGACTATTCAAGGGCCAAGAAGTATCTTCCCATAGTTTTGGAGAGACTGAGTAGAAGGTTGTAAAGGCAAAGTTTCGAAACTAGGTCCCTGAACACGATTATCTATAGCTCCAAATCGGCTCATGCCACTATGTACAATACCATAGCGCGCTGCAACTGCAGCTGGCTGTACTAGCATCATACCAGAACGTGAAATTTGAACTTGGTGATGGAGGGTGTGAAGTTGCCCGTTGTTCCCATTATCCAGACGATATCCAGTACCAACGCCTAGATCCAGACTAAGTGAGTTGGTCTCTCCTGCCCTGATCCTTGAACTGCCAGTTACAGGTGAGGATCCCGTCATTTCATGGTTATTATTTTTTGCAGCAGGTACATCGTGGTTATGTTTTCCTTCATATGTGGTGATAACAGCTTTGGGATCATGAGAAGCCCTCTCCACGTGTTTCCTGACAGGGCATCCAGCATTGGTGCACTTGTAATAGCTCCTGCATGACATGAAAATCAGGAGAAATGATTGACCACTCGGAAAAGAAAATGCTCGAAATCCCTAGCTTCTGGACATGATATGATACAAAAGCTTGCCAGAGATCTATAAGAATCATGATGAGTGCGAATGTTTGATGAACTTAGTGATAAATGGTCTCTAATTCATCTTAAATTCCCAACTATAGAATGTTGGCTTACAACAAAGAAGATCTTGGGGATCGATGGATTAAGGATCTGCTATCCTAGAGACCTCATTGTCTCTTAGAGGCTCTTACCTCTCGTCAAGAGAAGGCATGATATCAAAAGTGTCACACTTTCTTAGGCTACAACTCCGATCATATTTATATGACTACTTTATAGACTAGCCAACACAACCAACAACCAGTAATGACCTTTGTCAGATACTTGTTACATTGCAAGATATATCAGGTCTGTGTACACGACAATAATGTAACATGAGGTCACATGTTCAGATAACTACAAACCATAGACATTACATACCTAGGATTAGGATTGCCTCGGACCACCTTCTGTCCATATTTGCGCCACTTGTACCCATCATCCAATATATCAACTTCACTGACTGTTTGAACAACAACACGTGGTTCACGGATAGGCTTAATCACTGGTGTTATATCCATCCCACCATCCATTTTCCTGCTTAAAATATTAACCAATTATCAGATTTATTGCAGGAATAAATTGAAGGTGCTCCAATAGTTTTACCTTCTTTTCGCAAATTGATCATCCTCATCCATATCATCATTAGTGCCATGCATCTGTGACCCTGCTCCTTCAAGACCACCAGTGTCCGCTTGCTGAGGTGATACAGGAGTACTACTAGGCTCAGTTTTACTAGTTTGAACATTGTTGTTGAACTTGTCTTCTACATAGACTGAGAATCAATAAAGGTTGACTCAGAATAACATTACGAAAACTTCTTCAGAATAACCACTTTATGTTCAATTGAGAGGGAAATGAAGACCAAAAGAGCTACTTGTTTACCTTCTTGACCCCTGAAACACGCTTCTTTCTCACATTTATCTTCTTGGATAGACATGAGAGCACCAGGAGAAAATCGGCGGCTCAGTTGGGGTTTAGGATGATCATGAGAACCTTTATAAACAATCTCTGTTATTTGTCCTTCAGGTGACCGCTCAAATATCTTTTTCACTTCGCAGTTTGGATATGTACATTTGTAATAGCTTCTCGGAAATTCACTTCCTTTAACAAGTTTCTGGCCATACTTTCGCCAGTTATACCCATCATCTGATGATCTATCAGATGTTACTGATGATACTTCTTTATGATCGGCATGCGATCCTTGCATGCTTGCACTAGATTGACCTCTCGGATTCATGGCATCAACGTTAATAGGTTCATATAGACTCTCTTCTTTTGATGAAGCATCAACATTAATAGGTGCAGATAAACTCAGTTCTTTTGATGTTTCCATCTCGTGTTTAGCTAGAGATGAAGGTACTAACAATTGAGGATGACTTTGATCTTGAACTTCTTTCAGTGGCTCATTTTGTTGTTGGTTGAGACCTGTAGAAATCTAGATTACAGAAGCATATTAGGAATGTAGGAACTGACTACTAGTAAACTAATATATTCTTTTCTGTAATCAAATTATTCAACAAGATAGTAGAATTTAGATCTAAATATTTATTTTTGAAGATCTACCTACAAGAAGAGAAAACTCATCAGAAGAGGGCCCAAAAAAAAAATGTGTGCAAGGCAAAATTTATACTCTTGTGGAACCTTTAAGATATACAGGGAGATCGATGCTTCTGAACTCAGTAAAAAAAGGAAGCTCCATCCATGCACCATGCAACATAAAACAAGAAGGACGAGGAAGATATTGGGAAAATAGCCACTAGATGTGTGATACATGTTGATTTTCTAAAAGTTCAAAAGAATTACTACCATTTAAAAATAAAAAAAGAAATTTGAAAGAATTACTTTGACAAACTAATTTGCAGGGTTACTTATAACGTGCATTCTGTCATGATTTTACAGTCACAGAAGAATAGATTTAAGTTAGTTATTGTACATTCCCTGCAAAGTTAATTGGATGGATGCACCATCAATCAAATTTATGATTTTTAATTGTAATAACTTCTGGAATTTGTTAATCGAATATTTTTTTAATAGTAATGTGACAAATCATACAAGAGGTAAGAAGGATCAGCGACAAGGCATAGTAGATGAAAGGTCACATCCACTGGTTTAACAATTCATTTCTTGACATTATGCATGACCACACTCAAGCTACTGCTCACGGTGCTATCAATTTACCGACATAACCAAATTAATGATACTCTACTTGTGTGAAAAGGACTGTAGTGCTGCCACTTAAGAAACACGAGTCTCTTCGATATGAAGAAGAAAAAAACAGATGAGCAAATCAAAGCTACTTTACTTTCAGATAGCATGTTACAACACCATTTACAACCTGCACATTTGACATTAACCTCAAATAGATGCCATATCAAGAGAATGGCACAAGAACAGGAACCTGAACCTCAGAGTTAAACTTTCATTTTTTCTAAGTTAAACATTAGTCAGTTGTTAAAGAGGGCTACTGCTAATAAAAAAGCTCTTGTTTCATTTGTTTTTTGTTTCTAATCCAACATCAATAATATTTTCTAATAGAGCATTACCACATGTTCAGTTGCTAATGATCCTGATGTAGAACTAGATCCACCGGCATATTGGTACTCAAAGCAGCTTGCTTTTCTTTCAATATATGTATTGCCACTAGCATAACCTCTTGTCAATAAGAATGCAGCAGCCCCACCAGAGCCTTGCACTGTTTGAAATTTGGAGAAGGAACCTGTAGTCGGAGATGGCTCAGCCTGCAGGTTATAAGTGAAATAGACTTAAGTGTTTTGATAGGTAAATGAAATAAACTTTTAAGTTATTGATCACAATTTTCTTTTCCAAAGGGAAACACATTCATCCATAGACAGACATGGTACATATATTTACTACTCTTTCTCAGTTTTCTGCTTCGTTGAGGAGGGAGAAAATTTTTTTTCTTTTTTACGTCACCTTCAGGTTCATTTCTTTTCATTTGGGTGGAGGAAGATAGATGCTACTTATAGTAGTGCAAAAGATCATTTATCTGCAACAGAACATTAGCATTTACGTCCGAATAAGACAAACATTTAGGCAAGCTTTAAAAAGCATATAAGTAGGTCAGAAGAACAATGTAGGGAATTTACTGATGCCATTATCAGGACAGAACATTAGAAAATAAACATATTTTTCCACAAGGAACAACATAGTGGAAAAGCTGAGCACCTTGCGAAAAGGAAGATTCATTATGTGAAAAAACAACACTGATGCCTAACTGAGCTTTTTCCACGCAGAAGAATGAAGAATATGTATTCTGGTAAAGGCAAGAAGCATAATTCTATTAAAAAACGACATATGCACCAATACAGTTCATCGTTCATGAAAGCATCAGAACCAACGGTGACAATTTGCACAGATAAACATACATATATTTATAGATAAATATTATATTCTTAAATGAGCACTTAGCTATATGCAGAAGAATCAAACCAACAAGTTGGAAATTGCAAATGCCAATGAAAAGAACCAAATATCTAATCAATAATTCAAACCGTACTTTAAGAAAGCAACAATCACATAAAAAAAATCCTCAAATCCTCCACTGATTAGTATATTATGACGCAATCAAACTGAACAAAAGAAGGAAAAAAGTTTTACTAATAGTTTGCATTTCACTCAATTGACGACAGCACAACTATACACCTTATTCTTAACAACACTTAAACTAATTAGATTATCTTAATAATTGTTAAGATTCCCTAATTATTTTTCCTTATAGCTTATCCTTCGTTTTCTTATCAATCAAAACATAACAACAGCTCATTAGTACTCGTAATCACCTCAACATCCTGGATCTACTGAAATTCTCCAATTAAAAAAAGCATCGTAGTCAAAATAACTTCATTTCTTCAGCTAATGTGTTACATTACAACAAAACAAGCTTAAATTTCGTCCGATAATAATGGTTAAAAAAAACAGAGAAATGTGAGAAATAGAGATTGAGAACTGACTTTGATGTTAGAAAGAAGAACAGGAGATTCGAGGAAGGAGGAAGGACTGAGACCGGGAGGTATGGTGATACAGGCGGACCTAGAGATCGGAAGCATAGCAGGAGTCATGAGCTTGTACTTAGCACCGCCGTTCGATCCGGCGGCGTTGTGACGGAAACCGCCGGTGGAGATTTGTCCATCTCTGAGTTGTTGCTCGGAAGTAGAGTGCAGCTGCTGCTGCTGAGAGTGAGAGTCTTCCATTGACGATTCAGAAGGGGTTTGTTTGTTTTTTTTTGGGTGTGTTGGAGAAGACAACAGTCAAAAGGAGTGTGACCCAACAGGGTGACCGGGGGCAGTGGGCAGGGGTAGTTTCGACATTTTACATAAAACGGTAATTTGGCACCTTTATAAGAAAGGGAATTAATTTTTTTTCTTTCAATTTACAATTTTCTTGTGGGCAAAAATTTAATGGTTGGGGTTTACATCAAACTAATAAATAATGATAAAAATAAAAGTATAAATACAACATGAATACTAAATAATAGTGCTAAAAAAAGGATTGGAAGAGGAGATTAGTTACATTCCTCTTCCATTTATAAGAGTACGACAACACTCAACTACCTAATGCTCTTATACTATAATCTTCAACTTTCATATTAATTTTATCGAGGGTCGTTATGCCTTTGAAAAGTTCAAGATGTATTGTGTCTTGTTTAATCACACTTTCTAGCTTTTCTTGGCCTATGTACATCTACCTCTCCTAAAAAGTGTTTTAGTTTATTTCTCACTCTTCTTTGTTGGTGCATCCGCGCGCCTCTTTTTCATATACTTGAACTATTTCAACTTGTTCGTCACTTCTACCTTGTCTTGTATAAGTTCGTTCATAATATCATATTGTCTAGCATGTCTACACATCCATCTGAACACTCTCATCTTCGCTATCTTCATATTTTGATATTGTGTGATCTGGATTGAATAACACTCTGCCCCGTACAACATTTCAGACTTAACCACCGCGCTGTAAAACTCTTTTAAGCCTTGATGATACATTTTAACAACATAGTATTCGATATGTGAGTCTACATTTCTCTCATTTTATTTCAATACGACGTACGACTTCATCGTCAATCTACCAATTTTCTTAAATTTCATATATCCAAACTACTTGAAAATACATTTTTTTAGATACAACTTATATATCGATCTTCTAATTAAGTTGATTAGATATTTTGGGTGAAAATAGATATTTATATAACATATTGTGTGTGTACTTTTGATATTACTAAGTGAAAGACGATTGGACGCAAGTTGACTATGGGACATGGGATGTCATATGTGGGTGTTATTCATGAGTTGTCTCTATCCAAGTACTATATGTAAATAATTTCCCTCTCAATAATTGCCATTTTCAATTATATTCCTTTACGTTTGGTTTCATCTATGTTATTGGAATTCGGTTAAGATACACCTATATAATAATAGAAAAATAATGCAAGTTGAGTACATTTGGGGTGGGTTGGCGGTCCTCTTTTAAGAAAAAGAAATCTTGGTTGACATGCTATTATCAGTTGTCGTATAGTTTCTTATTTTTCAATGTATATTATCATACGTTTGATATTTTGTTTTCATATTTTTTTGATAATTTTGATTCAAATATCGTCTCTTTTGAGTTGGGAATTTATCGGGAATAGTTTTTCTATTCCGTAAAGATAGAGATAAGATTTGTGTATATCTTATCTTCCCAGTTTTTATTTATCGTCTTCTGTATCCATGAATCAAACGATTTTCTCAGATTTAAAGTTTAAACTAAGACGCTAAGTAAAGTATGTCAAATTTATAAAAAGAAAACACTTTAAAAAGTTTTATGTACTCTTAATGACTGATTTTACTAGTTATAATTCATCAAAAAGAAGAAGAAGCAACAAAGGAATCCATATGAATTATAGTAAAGTGGTGAGACTGCTCCATCCTTAACTAAAAGTCTTGGCGAGTCTTGGATATGTAGAAATTTTTTGTTGGAAGCATCAACCCAAATGGACCTAGCAGTCCGCGACTCAAATTTAATCGGGACTTTAATACAGACACTAAACACCAGGTGAAAAAAAACCTCAAAAAGCAAAGGAAGAGCAATAACCACGGCTAACGTCCGATAATAGGCTAAATGTGAAATACTTTGTCAATATAAATATAACTTAAATAGTACATATAATTGGCCATCCAATGCAAATCCTAGGTTTGGAAAAAGCCCATCTAATTTTGAGGGCCATGACATAAGCGAATCCATTACTTAACTTGCTTGGGCCAAACAACTGGACTTTTCAGTATAGACCATGGGCCTGGATGGCAGGCAGTACGCAAGTTTTTTCCCGTACCGTCCCTATTTCGGGATAGTCTTTAATTTTTACGTAAGAAAATTTAGTGAAAATTTATTATTCAAAGTATCCTTATCCATGACTTAATTTTGGTAGATAAATTTTTTTTAAAAAATAAATCCGTGAAGCATAAATTTAGTGTTATCTAATTTGGAAGACAATTTTTTATTCTTAATATTAAAAAAGATAAAAATCATTAGGGACAAGTTCATACTATTGAACTTATGTCTCGAAACATAAGTCCATATAAATTTCACAAGAGACAAGTTAGGTCTTATAAGACATAAAATTAGCGTATAAACCTAACATATAATGATTTAGAGTTGAACTTATTATAAGATCTAACTTGTAAGTCGTACCTAGCGATTTTTTTTTGTCTTAAGACTACATTCTATTTTATTTTTAATGTTTTGGTACCCATATTTTATTTAGTAAAAAAATAAAATAATAAAGACCATGAATTTCAAAGCTAAAAATTAAAATTACCCAAAATAAGCTAAGAGCACCCACATTATCCTTGCGTCACACGCCAAACCATTCCATGTCGGTGGATTGAAAAGTCATAAATTACTATTGACATTAATACCATGACTTTCTCAATTATGGAAGAGGCTCCTATGATGATCTCTCAAGTTTCTTTTAGTGCTATTTTATATAGTTGATATGTATTTATTTAATTTTAAATGGATCAAATTATTATTTTTTATCAAATATCATTAACTATAATTATTAGTAATTCTCCTCCTTTCATTCCTTTCTCAATCAGCAAAGAAACACTTGTTCCTCCTCCAAAACTCTCCGAAAAAGAGAGCAACCAAACAATTGAAAATTAAAATTACATCAATATTTTAATGTTTTTACATTTACATATTAACAACTAGGGAGGGTCTCAAAAGAGAAAGACTGAAATGGAGTAATTAGCCCCAATTAAAAATTGCAGTTATAAATACCACAAGAAAATAAACCCAAAAAATAAATGGAGAATTTCATCAGAAAAAAAAAGTATATAAAAAAATATTTTCCTACCCATTTTTCGTGCCCTTTCCAGATCCTTTAGTTGGCTTTTGCAGAAACTCCAAATTGAAAAAATTGATGTTACGAAGAAGACGACAAAGTTTTGTGGATCACCATTGTGACCGAACCAAACTTCAAAGAAGTAGTCTCATGGGTTTGATTTTTTAAATTTTATAACCCAAGTTCATCATTTGAATTTTGTCTTCTTTTATCACAGTGTGAAAATAATGGAAAGAAAAAGCAATTTGTTGCTAAAAAGCAAATTCTTTGCTAATTGAGAAAATGTTTGTTGCAGAATTAAGTGAGAAAGAAAGAGATGAGAGGGGAGAGAGAAAGAGAAATAGTAATAACTATGGTTAATGATATTTGACCATGGTTTAAAGGCTGCTTTATTTAAATAAATATGAACTATTAAATTTTAAAATTGTCAAATGTCATTAAATTAAATATGCACTGGACCAACTGGAAAGATTAGTGTACTGGAGAGGAGCCTCTTCCCTCAATTATATGTGTCTATTATCTTATTTTTAGAATTCAATAATTTAACAGATAAGTATTGAAATTTTTAAACTCGACGCGAATTATTAGTTTCATTCACAACTTTTAAAACATCACTTTACTTGACCAACTAAACTTAAATACACCTTGATTCTATAACATCTTGACTTTTTATTAAGAGTTTCATGTTCCTACAAAAGTTTGAAACCACTTGTTCGGTCATGTAGCAGTTCGAGATGTTTCTAAGTTAAATCAATCAAGTAGAGGTGTGTTTTACGACGATCAATAGTTCGAAATGAAACTAATAATTTAGATATGTTAGAATTTTGTTATCACTAAACTTCAAATCATGATCCGAACCTATCACAAAATTATCTTAAATCACTAAAAAGCCGTCCATTTTTTCTATTATTTGCATGGTCGGTTAAAATAAATACGAATTAAATATCATTTAGGTTTTTACTGGGCCGTATTTTTACCCAAAATATTTTCCCACGTGTAATCCGGATTCTAAAAATATTTTAATTTTCATCCAATCCGAGTAATTAATTGACCAGCAACTACTAAACCCAACTTTAAACCGTGGTTTAATAAACTTGGTCAACTAAAAGTCTAAACTTAACTATAGTTAAAACCTTCCTATAAGTACCAGCAGCCATAAGCCCTTGAATTTTTCTTTTTCCCATGCTTTATTTTTTTCCGTTTCGTTACTTTTTTTGAGAAAAAAAGCAAAAGAGTTCAGCTTTTTCGCTTCTCAGTTCATTGAAGTAGAAGACAAATTCACGTAACGTTCGCGCTACATGGTAAAAATTTCTTTATTCAATTTAAATTGTTTGTTTTTATCGATAAATCCAACAGTTTAAACAACTGATTTTTCATTTTTTTGTGTTTTTTTTTTCGTTTTTATGTTCGAATAGCTTGATTTTAGTTGTTTTTGCTATAAAAAGTGTAAAAAAAGGCTCATTTTTGAAGAAAAATTGACGAGTAAATGCAAATGTTCGAATACATGCTTTTAGTTTTGTTTTCAATTTGAATAGTTTGGAATTTAGTTGTTTTTGCTGTAAAAAGCGTTGAAAAAAGTTCAATTTTGGCGAATTTTGAAGAAAATTTGATGAATAAATCCAAATGTTCAAAAACATGCTTTTAGATTTGTTTTCAATTCGAATAGCTTGGAATTTAGTTGTTGTGCTATAAAAAGTGTTATTTTGGTGAAAATTTCAACTAATTTGGAGTTTTTTTTTTTTTTTTTTTAAATAATCTGGGTGAAGGTGCAGAGCGTGAGTGTGGATCCGGATCGGGAATCGGAGCCGTTCATTGAATTGGATCCGACGGGGAGATATGGGCGGTACGACGAGCTATTAGGTTATGGAGCAGTGAAGAAGGTGTACAGAGCGTTTGATCAGGAAGAAGGGATTGAAGTAGCTTGGAACCAAGTGAAATTGCGTAATTTCATGGATGATCAGCAGGTGATTGACCGGCTGTATTCGGAGGTTCGGCTATTGAAAACTCTAAAGCATAAGAACATAATTGCATTGTACTCTGTTTGGAGGGATGAAAATCGCAACACGTTGAATTTCATAACCGAGGTTTGTACCTCGGGGAATTTGAGAGAATATAGGAAGAAACACAAACACGTATCGATGAAGGCAGTGAAGAAGTGGTCTAAGCAGATTCTTAAGGGATTGAACTATTTGCATACTCATGAACCTTGTGTTATTCATAGGGATCTCAATTGCAGTAATGTCTTCATTAATGGCAATATTGGTCAGGTATATCATTGACCTCTTGCTTTATCTGTTATTATATCATGTTTTGTTGAGCAAAGGGTCTATTGGAAACAATATATGTAGTTGGTGTTGCTTTATCTGTTATTCTATCATGTTTAGTCGAGCAGCCTGCAGGATCACCAGATATGTAGTTGTTGTTGCTTTATATGTTATTCTATCATGTTTAGTCGAGCAGCCTGCAGGATCACTGGATATGTTGTTGTTGTTGCCTTATCTGTTATTCTAGCATGTTTAGTCGAGCAGCCTGTAGGATCACCGGATATGTTGTTGTTGTTGCCTTATCTGTTATTCTATCATGTTTAGTCGAGCAACCTGCAGGATCACCGGATATGTTGTTGTTGTTGCTTTATCTGTTATTAGTATTATCCTTATCTTTATTAACTCTTCAATGTCATAGCTTTTTTGTTCAACCCAAAAAAGGATAATGTTGATTATACCTTTGATGATAGTATTTAATATATGAACATTATAGTGTCGTTCTTATGGTAGTATTCATTTCACCAATTGTCAAGATTTGATTTTTATTTGATTCATGTTGGTCTTTATTGTTATCGATGTCTTAACTTGTTAATGTCTGTTTTATGAACTTCAGAATTTCAAAGGGAGTATGAATGATTGTGTTGTGTTTGTGAAATAGGTTAAGATTGGTGATTTGGGTTTTGCAACTATAGTAGGGAAGAGTCATTCAGCCCATTCGGTTCTTGGAACCCCAGAGTTCATGGCACCGGAGTTGTATGATGAGGATTATACTGAGCTGATTGATATCTACTCGTTTGGGATGTGTGTTTTGGAGATGGTGACGTTGGAACTACCTTATAGTGAGTGTGATAACGTGGTGAAGATATACAAGAAGGTAATATCCGGAGTGAGGCCTAAGGCCATGGACAAGGTTAAAGATCCTGAGGTCAAGAAGTTCATTGAGAAGTGTCTTGCTCAGCCTAGGGTTAGACCCTCTGCTTCTGAACTCCTTCAAGACCCTTTCTTTAATGATATTAATGATGATGACGAAAACGACGATGAAGAGTATACTAGTAACAACTTTTGGCATGCTTAGATCAGCCATAGCTATTATTTGCTAGTACTAGTATATTAGTTAGTTGTATTAGGTTTTGTTGTGGAGTTTTTGGTGTTGATTTGTTGCTTGTAGTGTTTTTGCCTTTTCTTCCAAAAAGAATAAAAGAAAATGGTTTTGCTTTTTATTATGAAACTATTGCAAAAGAAAAAACAATAGAAAAGAGTGGATTTTGGTCAAGGAGTTTGTACATACATTTGTTACTAAATACTATTTGAAGATTGAATTCATTTCATTGTATCTCTGATTGGACAACACATCACTCTCACCAGATATTTATGCCAAATTATGGTTACATATGATTATACATGTATTAATATGACGTAAACATGATAACCTTTCATACCCTTGAAGTGATAGGAGAACTAAATCTTCATATTGGGACAAGTCAAAATTTTGGAATTGGTAAAAGCAAAAATGTGGATTGATTCAAATTTTAACAAAAGAAAACAAAAATAACCTTTGGTATAATGTAATGGCTTTTTATTTATTTAGGAAAAAAACATGAGGTGGAACTTGTAAGCAAAGTAAAGAAGCAGTTGACATATATGCTCAAGTTGTCGCCACGCTGTCCCATTTTTCTATTTGTTGGACTAAACAAATCCCATCAATTTTAAAATATTATTATAAAATTAATAAAGAAAAAGACCAATAATATTTGTTGGCGTATGTTGCATTTGCCATTTCCCACTTTAAACAAATCGAATCACAAAAGGATAAGTCAATACACACCACCACCGAAGTTTGTCGTGCGGTGTTACGAAGTAATAAATATTTCTTCATTTTTAATAAAAAAAAAATATTATGATTAGAGTTTTAAAATAAAAATATTCAAAAATAACATGTCTATCTCCGCGAAGTAGAAACAAAGTAAACATTCACTTTATCTCTTCTGATTTTGTATATGAAATTAATTTGGATGTAATTTTTCATGTTTAATAAAAAAATTAGAATTTGAACCTCCAAAATAAAGTTGTTTTTAGTAAGAAATATATTTCGTTCAAAATAAATTTTGAACTAAATTTAAATTAGTCGAACTCGAAAGTAAATATCGAACACAAAATAAATAAAAAATATTAGCACTACAAGGAAAAAGAAAAAGTTTGAAACGGAAAAGTAGGAAAAGGTCCAAAAAGAAAAAAAAACAGCTGTTTTTTATACGGCGTAGGGCCATATGCAACATAATAATTTCTTCACAAGCGTCGACCGCCGGTTTGGTTTGTAGGGTCCAATAACGGTCTTTTTTTATTTCGTTCGATATTCGTATTATAGGGAAGTATATTAAGTATTTTTTCATATTTAAAATTTAAACTCGAGATTTTTAATAAAGGAAGAAATAACCTCATATACTGCACTATATTATTTAATGATGATATTTTCTATTCACGGTTGTATAAAATAAAAATAATACCAAAATTAAGAAAAATGTAGTTATAATTAGTATTTATATCAAATCATATCAATTTCTGATAAATTTTTAAAGAAAAAATCGTTTCATTTAAATAACTTGGATATTAAAAGATTATGGTCAAAGATTAATTTTTTTTCTCTTATTTGAAATTTTCTGGTGATGAGAACTCGTTTAATTAGTTTAATACTAATTAAAGATTAATGTAATCATCACCTAAGCCATAATGCCTCACAAAAGCAGACAAGTGGCTGCTTCTCTGAAGAAAAAAATATGTTGGGCACGTTTTTCATAACACAATTTTTTATTAAAGGTTTTATTAGGACATAATATTTCTTTTTTGGTCTTGTTAATTCAGAAAAGGTTAATGTTTTTATCTTGTTAGTAATTACTGATTATTAACTTATGAAGCAATTAATTTTTTTTCACATGTTAATGTACGTGGGAGGACAAGTTAATCCGAAGTAATAAATTTGTTAAATACCTTTTATCTTGTTAGTAATTACTCCCTCCGTCCCTATTTACTTGTCCATATTTCCTTTTTTAGTTGTCCCTATTTAGTTGTCCATTTTGACAAATCAAGAAATGACAACAAATTTTTTCCTATTATACCCTTATTTACACTTCTTGAAAATTGTAAAAGTGTATGTTGTTTCCCTCCAATTTATTTCACTTTAATTCAAATAAGTGGTTGTAATTTTGAAGTGAAAAGTTGTCATAAGGGTAAAATTGTAACTTCACTGTGCTAATCATTGTTGCCTTAATCTGTGTGTCATTTCTAAAGTGGACAACTAAAAAGGGACGGAGGGAGTATTGATTAACGTATGTGATGCGATCTCTAAAGAAAGTGGTCAAATACGAAAATGCTATGTATTAGACATATCTAAAAAAAATGTTTGATACGTAAAATGTTGTCCCATAAAATAGAGGTGTGACAAATGGAGGAGTTAATTTTGATTTGTATTAAGGTTTAATGACAAACTACTTTCAAACCATGAAGTTGCGTAAATAATTTTTCTTCTACATCTATTGTAAGCACAACTCGGTGCTCTAAACTCCCATTATTTGTGTGGCCTATGGAAGGGCCAAATCATACTGGGTTCTATTGAATGAAACATTGCTTTGTATTTTTGTGAGAGTTTATTTACATGATTTGAACCTGTGATTTCCTAGTCGAATGGTGTGGACACTTACCGTTGAGGATGGGTTGTATGATAATATATCTTTTTTTTTGTTAGAAAGATAAGTAATAGCTTTTGGATGCCTAATCGTGACGCACGTGTATCGACATGGTATAGCATGGGTGTGAGGTCCATATTGGATTAGGTCAATCGATTTTGGGTACTTCGATCAAAATTGACATGGAAATTTGGGACATACATTGTATAATATAAAAGCTAAGGTGAAATTGAAGAAGATCATATAACTTGTATATAGAAATTTCTACGTCAGTCATTTCATCGCTTCTTCTAACTCTCATCTTGATCAATAATTTCTCCTTGATGAAATACCTTGCATAATGTCTCATAATTTAAACCAACAACTCTATTTTTAAATATTGAACTATTTTTAGCCGAATCTCAACACACATATCTGTCCCCCGAAATCTTAAATTTCGTGAAGGATCCGACCTCTAGACACCTGCACACCGAGTCCAATCAACTTAGATATTCATATTCTTGAAACATTTTCCTCTCCCACAAAACCAAAGTCATAAACAATTATTGATTGAATACGTACGACCAATCCATTCTAACTAGAAAAATCGAAAATACTTATAGGTAAGCTCCAATAGTAAAGACACCACAACCTTGTAATGTTCATAAAATATATGATCTCTGTCCAATTCCTAGTCATTATAGTATGAATATGAATATTACAAGGTAGATTAGAGATCAAGTCAAAACATGAAAACATTGGAAACTATGAACAAAAACAAGGTCACAAAGACAAGAAAATACCAAAAAAATGGATAATACTACGTTGTGAAATCATATGTTAACACACTTAGTAACCTTGTACACTGTCAAACAACAACATTTCATCTAGCTAAATAGATGGATAATCTTCTCAAGTTCATTGTAAGTGTTTTACTTTCACTTCTTTTTATCAGATTCTGTAATGGAGGCGAGTTTATCGAATCCAAATCATTTATCAATTTTCTTGTTGCTATTGATCCAAACAATGTACTAAACGTTGATCGAAATGCTTTGTTTTCTTACCCTTGTTACTACAAATTACATGGTGTTAAGTGTGATTTACGTTCCGGTGAAGTCATAGAAATAAGACTTGAGAACATGAATCTTAGTGGTGTAATTGATGCAGAGTCACTCTGTAAACTCTCAAACTTGAGAGTTCTTAGCTTAGCTAGGAATAAGATTGAGGGAACTGTTCCTGAATCGATATCATCGTGTAAAAGTTTAACTGTTCTTGATCTAAGCAGCAACTTTCTTAGTGGAAACTCATTAGTACTAATGCAGTCATTGACAAGGATCAAGAATCTGAAAAAACTTAACATTTATAAGAACAATTTCACTTCCTCACAACGTATGATGAGTCTACACGCGTTGAGACGTGTAACTATTAAAGAATCTTCATCTTCAACTACAGTAAGTGATGATAAGAAGACAAAGAGTCATCATGTGAGTCTGATGGTTTGGGTACTCATATCTCTTGGAACTGTGATTGTGTCTGTAGTTTTAGTATTCTTGTATATGAGATGTGTTGGGACAGTTAAGGACAAGGAGGTTATAAAGGAAGTAGTTGATTATCCGTCTCCTCGAAAAACTCCCTCAGATGAAGTTGTGGATGGAGTGTGTAACACTGAAGAGAAAAGCTCAGAACTTTACTTCTTCATGGAAGATGTTGAGAAGTTTACGATGGACGATCTTCTTGAAGCAACTGCTAACTTAACAAAACAAGGCATTTGCAGCAGCCTTTACAAGGTTCATATCAGTAGAAGTGGTGTGTTTGCTCTCAAGAGACTGAAGAAACTACAAGTGGGGTTCAAGGAGTTCTCGCGAACGATGAAAAAGATAGGGAACTTGAAGCATCAAAATGTACTTCCACTTGTTGCTTATTACTCTAGCAATGATGAAAAAATGCTCATCTACAAATATCAGAACAGTGGAAGTCTACTAACACTTTTCGAAAGTAAGTAGTCAAGAACTTCAAATTTCTCATCTTGTAATTCAGAATTTTATATCATATTGTTGTTGTTTATTGTTGCAGATTATGCAGAGGGGAAATGGAACTTCCCATGGAACTTAAGGCTGTCGATTGCAGTTGGCATAGCAAGAGGTTTCGCGTACTTATACAGAAGTTCAAAGAAAGGCAATGTCATTCCTCATGGCAACATTAAGCCATCAAACATTCTATTAAACGAAAACGGGGAGCCATTGATAAGTGAGTATGGCTATTACAAATTTCTAGACCCTGACAAAAGTTGCCTCTATAAAGACAATGGTTATACAGCCCCTGAGAAAACGTTGACAGAAGAAACTGATGTGTATAGCTTTGGGGTGATTCTGCTGGAACTGCTAACCGGTAAAGTTGTGGAGAAGACAGGATTAGACCTTGTCAAATGGGTGAAATCTATAGTGAGGGAAGAATGGACTGGAGAAGTGTTTGATAGTGAAGTTTCCAACTATGAGATGTATGCTTTCCCTCTACTAAACGTTGCACTCAAGTGTGTGGATCGTTTGCCTGAGGATCGACCTACTATGACAGAGGTTTTGGAGATAATCGAAGAAATTGTGAATGATCAAGAAGACATTTCTCCTTCTTCTC